CACACTACCTTGTATCACCACTTGTATCACACTCACACTACCTTGTATCACACGGTTTAGGCTTAGAAAAGAGATCATGGTTTGTAAAAACGTATCAGCGTAACGTAACTAGTGTAAAACAACTGCTGTTAGTGAACATTCATACCAAACATTACGCAGTAAATTATGACCGTAGCCTGTTTGTTAATTATTCATTATATCAACTGTTGCACCATAGCCTGATGATCATGAATATGTTAAATACTAGTTTTATATTGTATTTTTTTAGTTTCAGGTACACATATTCACTCACTATTGGTTATTGATATTAACAAGCCTTTAATGTCAGTGTTTTTCATCATTATTGTACTCATTGTCTTGTAACGGGCTTCAGCTTTGGTTCACTTGATTTCAGTATTAGTCTGGTGATAAACTGGAGCCAAGAACTAAGACGTTCTCTCTGAGTCACACTCAGGCGTATTCTACATTCCACCACTCGCTTGGTTGGAAGTCCAGCTGTTCACAGCGTTTTCCCCGCTGACGGCGAAGCAGTCAGGCAGTGTTTTTCTGCTGATGGCTCTCCTGAACAGCCAGATAGAGAGGCTCCGCATCCCACTTACAGATGTTTGTGATCATTGCTCCAGTGAGATTAAATGGAAGCAAGATGGGGCCCAGAGATTCTGTATTGGTTTTGGAGAGCGAGCGGGGGAAAGAGGCTCCCTCATCTGGCTGCACGGCCATCTTTCATGCCTTGGGGAGTTCGGGGGGTAGATGTGCTACAAACGAGGGATGGATGAATGAGCTTAAGGGTTCATGGAAAAGTTCACAGACTGTACACTGAGCTTAATATGAACCGCATGAGTTATGGTGTTGTGGTGAATTGGGGTCCCTCCAAAAATGTCAGAGTTAGAGCGCTCGGGCTTGCTTTTGTCAGTGATGTTATTTCCTGGATGGAACAAAGCCATGTGGGCTCTAAGATGTCAAGACATCGTGGATGTATTTATGGTGTGTGCATGCGAGCATCAGTGTCTGTGATTATTTTTTTCTGATATATGGGCCAATGTTTGTCTGCCACGTGAATGTCTTTTATTGAATCCTCTGCGTGTAAATACAGCGGTATACTGCATCGTAGTCGCATTTGTTTTTGATAGAAACAGGTTAATGGCTGCAGAAAAATGTTTCCATCATGGTCACATCAATCAGTTTTAGATGTGCGGCTAACTCTGTACTTGTTTGTTGTGTTTGTGCCAAATGTATCAATGTGGTGTACAACGTCTCAGACTTGCTTACAGGACAATTATAGAGAAGGCTAGAGAAGAACTGCTAAAGTTATTGTAAAGATGAAAATATACAAACAAACTAGACCGACGTCTGTCCAAATATGACGTTGCTGACACGGGGAATTCCAGCGACCCGGATCATTGAAGGATAAGGGTTAGGGTTATTGTCAACAAATACCACGAGGAGTCCAAAACCAACAAGGAAATTCTCCTGCTAACAAGTAAATATTGATATATTTTATTCTTCCGTGCCACAGAACTCTATTGTCCAAAAACTATTAAAAACACAAACGAGTCACCCTGTTGCAGTGGTTGTTCCTTCATTACCATGAACACACACATTGTAGTTTATTTTGAGTCAATCCCACTGTCCTGCTGCTGTAAATGCTCAATAGAGCACCAAATTTTGCTCCCGTAGCTGTGCCTACAGTGTAGAAATGTGATAGACTCTGAATTGTAAGTCACTTTGGATAAAAGCGTCTGCTAAATGACTGTAATGTAATGTAATGTAAATGTGTATTAATCCAAGACTGGAAATAGTCCCCCAACAAATACCCAATTTACACCGTCTACAAAAAATGACAGTGCCCAGCTTTTTGAGGAATTTACTTAAAATGTTTCTTAAATGAAAATATATATTTGTGACTTGGCATGTGCAAATATGCCTTGCTCATGTTTGGGCAACTGGGGTGATTGTGGCTAAGTGGATAGCAGGGCCGTCTTTCAATCAGAGGGTTGGCGGTTCGAACCCCGGCTCCGCTAGTCGCATGTGTCCTTGCGCAAGACACTTAACCCCAAAATTGCTCCCGTAGCTGTGCCTACGGTGTAGAAATGTGATAGAATCTGAATTGTAAGTCGCTTTGGCTAAATTAATGTAATGTAATATGCAACTGAAGAGGTGTTTTGCCCCAACCATCCAGACGAGTTAGCAAGCTTTGAACACTGAATTCAGCATCAAAATGTCTGGTTGTTGAGTGTTCAGTTGTTTGAAGCGATAGTCCAACAGCGGAGTCAAGTCCTACAGAATTTCGACAGGATCACAACCTTTTTAGAGCAGCGGGTGTTTCAGTTTAACGAGTGACCGTGTCAGCTGGTGACTTTCAGCCCAACGTGTCCGTGGTTGCTTGTAGTAACTTATTTTAATGATCGGCGTCGATAATGAACACAGATGAGTCTGTATTTTAAATTGATTGAAAGGTTTTTAGAAGAGACTACATGTTCTGCAAGCATGACGCATTTAGCTGAGAGTCACCAGTTAACACGGTCACTCATTAAACTGAAACACCGGCAGCATCTCCACATGGAAGCTATTAACAGGTTTACTTGTCATGAATCTCTTTTTAAAGCGCCTTTATGTATTGTAGAATAAACTCTCTAAATAAAATGTATAGTTACAATATTAGCATGAATCATAAAGTATTGAGAGATGTACTAGCACATAATATATGTTTTCTTTTCATGGGGTTAGTTGACGGGAAGGAAAATACAATTATCCTTTGAGGTAAAGTGAAGTAGTACAGTCGCCTCATCAGCCGCTGCTGGAGAACAATCTGCTGCATTATTATTCCAACAGGTCATCTGTCATCCAGTAAGCGTGAATATACCCAAATGTAATACGTTTGCCATCACTTGTGGACACGTCTGCTCTGCTGGCTCTTTCTAGTTATATATACGATATGATGCTGTAAATAATTTAAAATTGACATCAGGATTATAGATCAGTTTTTGTATTACAAGCACACGTCGTGATACAAAGAAGGAGAGCGCACATCCTGCTGAAGCATATTTTGGTAGTGGTGGAAATGGACTTGTGTTAGGAATTTCAATGCTGTATTCTGAATTTGAATTAAGTAGTCTGAGTGTGTTCGTGCGTCGGAGAAGCACAATGTGGTGGTAAGTGTTGCTGTAAATGCACAATTTGATACAAACAGAGTGAACATCCTTCAGTTCACAGCAAGAGATACATGTACTGTATTATGGGATTCTCTTGTCCGTTTATATTATATTTAAAAGAGTTATGATTTGAACTTGTCCTGTATGAACTGAACTTCACATCACCAGCATGAACAAATTAGGACTCTTTTTATTTGAAATTGTTCACCTTTTACATACTTGACAGTTAATATACACAAGCCTTTGTGGTCCCTCTGGCCCGAGACATGGTCAGTGACGATGTGTGCTGGGTATCAACTAGGATGGCCTATGGTGGATGGGAAGCTCTCTCTCTCACACACACACACACACACACACACACACACACACACACACACACATGTCCAAATGCACCCAGTCAAGCACACATGCAGAAGCACACGCTTGCACACACACATACAGATTTGCAAGGACGGATACAAAAACACACGTCACGACACGTACTCTAACAATCTAACACAGTCTAGCCAGCTAATGTAGACATCAACAGAGGAGGGGCTTAAAGTGCATACATGAACAGAGGAGGGACTCGCTCGCTCTTAAGATCAGTGACAGCCTTTTAAATAACGAGCGACAGTAATCCTCCACTAAAGCAATGATCTTAGTGCCACGCTGTATCTTTACAAAAAGCACAACCCTACTGTAGTTTAGCTCAAACTGTGCCTCGCATCATGAAATAATGACACTGCATAGTTCACGGGGGTTAGTCTTATACATTATTGCGGTACAATGTAGATCCAGGTCCGGGGTCCGGCTGTGAGCCGGGGGCTGCAGGATGGCACAGAAAGCATGTATATCGTAGTTTTCAGTGGGATTAGAGAAATAAATCCGTCATGAGTAGCTGCAGTTAAGTCTAGCTTTAAATGTGGGATAATCCATGTGAGGATAGGTGAGAAGGTGTTCCCGGATGCATAGAAGGAGTGCAGATGCTGACGCGACTCCTCGTTCTGGTCTGGGTGAAGCACATGGTTCGGTCCTTGACGGGAGTCGCAGAACCGCCCCGGGTCAAACAGGTCAATAAGGGGCAAATAGGACTTGCGGGTGGGAGGTCCTGACAGGCCCGGGGGCCGGGCGGAGCAGTGCAGGGGGGAAGGTCTGTGTCTGGAAGAGGGCAGGGGTCGGGTAGTGGTTGGTGACGTGGTTGGAGCGGTGCATGAACGCGTTGCTGAGGGCGGCGGCCACTGACGCCAGGTGAGCAGGGAGGATCTGAGTGGTGAGAGGCGGACACAGGCGCTCCTTAACCAGGGACAACGTTATCTGGTGGAGACAAAATACAGTCAGTATGTTCACAGGGTGGAGAAACACGTCACGAAAAATATTAAATTAAACTAAATCAACATTTTAAATCTTCCATTAATAAAAATTATATTTTTTACCTGAGCTAGAAATACCTTTTTGATACTTTCAACACTACAGATACCAAAAACAATACCTCGCTGCGTGAAATACAAACAAAGCCCTTTTTCATTTCAACAAAAGAAGCCAATGTCTGATAATGTTAAATATCTAAATAAAAACCAGATCAGGAACTATTTGTTCAAAAAGCTCAGAAAAGGGATCGCAAATCTGACAGGACATTCGATACCAACCAATTTTTAGCGCCTAAATAATTTGCCAGTTAGTTAATTATACTGACAGAAAGTGAATCGACAAATATCTTGACAGTCAACACTTCTTTTTCCCAACATCTCAAATGTGAGGATTTCCTGCTTTAAATGTAAATTTAATAAGAACGTGCAATCTGAAGACGTCACATTGAGCTCCGGGATTGACATTTTTTTTAACGACCACATTTTTGATTCAATTATATTTTATTTGTATAGAGCTCAATATCTCAAATAATAAATTTGCCTCAGATTGCTTTACAGCAGAGGTAGCCTACACGGTGCCCGCGGGCACCTAGTCGCCCGCAGGGACCATGTGAGTCGCCCGCAAGGCATGTTCTAAAAATAGCACTAGTCACCATGGAGCTCCGTCTAAAAATTGTAGTTTCTGTTCTTTTTGAATCAAAAACGCTTGCATTCATGTAGATTTTAAAAGGAAGAGGCCGCCGCACCGCACTGGGTTTTACAGGTTCCGAATGGCGGGCGCTTCCCGTTGGCACCGGACGCGCCGCCGCAAGCGCACACAGTCGTCAGGTCCGTAAATCCTCAGAACAGGCCGCGGGGCAACAACTCGTAGGTGGCGGGGGTAGAAGCGAGGCAACGCAGTACGATTGAAAAGGCCCAGACTAGAGGTTTGAACGCAGGCGACCAAAGACGCTCGCGTGCCTCGGAGGGTTGGATTCCCCCCTCGGCTATAGACAAGACTTTTTACTAGTTTCTTCGTGGAGAAAATGGTACCCAAATAAAAGCTGGTGTCGGTGACTACAGACTACAGGCCGGCATGCAGGCTTCATGCAAAGTTAACCCAGATTTCCCAAAATGTGGTGATTAGTACTAATGTAATAGGATTCATTTAAACATGTGAAAGAGTTGATTTTTTTATTCTACATAACTGATCATTTGTATAAACATGGGACAGAGTTCATGATTTGTTCAAAAATGTTACGAAGGTAGTGGTTAGTACAAACGAGTCATGATGTGAAGATATGACAGTTAATGATTTCCTAAATTTTTTTAGAAGTGATAATATTTACAAAAATACAACAGGTGCGATTTTGAACAAAATACGCAATCATTGTTAATAATTATTGTGAGGAATAATTAACATTGACATGTGATCAGTCTCTTCACATATATTATGATTATTATTAAAAGGTGATCTGTGCAACTTTGTTATTCAGGAAGTTTGTATCAAACAAGTAGCCCTTCGTACTGCTCAGTACCGTTAAAGTAGCTCTCAGTTTCAAAAAGGTTGGTGACCCCTGCTTTACAGTCTGTGCAGCATACGACATCCTCTACCCTTGCATTGGATAAGGGGACACATCCCCAAAATGTTTATTTTAGTCTGCTAATCGATTCTTTTACAAATGCAGTTTATCTGTTTTGTTGTCATGATTTTCCAGACTGTTCATTCTTACAACCCTGGATCAACAGAGGCAACATGGCGGTGTCCCTCTCAAACATTAGACACATGAATAAACAGAAAAGTGTCTGAGGACACGAAGGCTGTGCCGGCACAGAGGGAGTTGGGGGCAGGGGATCAAACAGGTGCCAGAAATCAGCTGCTGACATAGGAAACAGCAGTAGACACGTGTCTTTAATCACTTAACAATTTCAATTTAGACAAGAGCCATTGGCAAAAAAAAGATGCTGAATCCAAAGCCCTTTTTTTCTGGATATTAGAAATTGAAGATTTGCTTGAAGAGTGAGTATGGAGGTATGGAGTTTTTATTGAGGGAGACTCAAAAAAAGAGCGAATAAAAGAAACGACAGACGGCCAAACCTCCAAAAACAACCTAATAGGGTGAAAAGGTCGCCAAAGTTATCTGGCTTAATCTTGTGTATCAGTAATGGAAAATCTACGGTCTCACAGCACCGGGACGGCAGCCGTCGTCACGGGTTATCAATCACTGACTCAGGCATCGTAACCCTATGGGAGGCATTCTTTACTCTCCGCTCATCAAAGGAGATCCTCTCCGTTAACTCAGTCAATGATGGGTTTCACAAAAAGTCATTTCCCCCACACTGGTAACCCCCGTGCTTTGTCTCGGCAAACAGTGGGTGTGATTAATGCCGTCTTCTGAGAGCTTCTGTAGGATGGAAAGTCAGATGCTCCTTTATCTTCCCCACATGGCTCCTTCATGCATCCTACAGATTCTGCGTCATGTGGCACTCAAAAAAAACAAGATCCGCCTGGCGTGCAAGAATGCCGAGGGGGGTTTGCCACATAGGACCGCGAGAATCGGAAAGTTAAACAATCAGCTTGAGGAAAGCATTCAAAAGTTCTTTTCAGTTCACTTCTCGCATTCTGCGGTTTGTAAACTTGCCTGACGCTGACGCAGAGGACCACACGCCGAGCTACTCCAAATAAGTTAAAACTGACATTTGCAATTGCTTATAAATAGCATTCGACCCCAGTCGGCATTCCGCCTCCAGCGCGCTGACTCGGAGGAGCCTTGATACACGGCGTTTTGGTCAATAAAATATCAAATTAAATCCCGCTGTTCCCTGCCAGTGCTCTTTAATAAAAAGCCAGGTAACAGGTGATCCAGTTATGAAAGTTGACATTTCATTGGATTAGGTGCCGTCAGACACTTTGGAAGATGATTAAAAAAGAAACATCAAACTGCTAAATTTCTTTTGAAAGCAAGACAGAATGATACTTTTTATACTAACAACAGCGTCTCATGGCTTGATGCATCTATTATAACTGCAGTCACTGTGACTGTTGTGATCGACACGAGGACTTTTGTTGCTGATGAAGATGACTGAGACTCACCGGCTGCTTGGTCTGGCCTTTCAGCGGTTTGCTGTAGGGGCTGTATTTAGGTTTGGCTGGTTTGCCTGCTGCTCGGTCTTTATGACGCCGGCTGCTGATATGCTGAAGAGGAGAAATAGGTTGTTAAATGAGGCAGACAGGTCCCGAGTCACAAGATGGTTTAGAATGACAAGCATGTCCTTCTACTGTGGTTAAATATGTAAATGTTCTTCTTCTTTGCATTCCAATAGTAACGAAAAAACAGAATAGAAAAGATTAATCCTTTGTGTCTACCGGTAACCTTAAAATCCACATTAGCTCGAATGAAAATGTTCACCTACATAATACTTAATAACTAATACAGTTTGCTGTTGGTGAGGCCGAAAGATACCAAGGATAACCAGGAAGGAGAAAGGCTTCCAGCTCTTATGAACATCCACGGCCGCGTTCATGATTGCTGAAGTTTAAAAAAAAGCTCTCTGGTTTGCAATCACTGAAACCACAATGAGGAAAAGGGAAACAACTTGTACCTGGGAACCCTTTTCACCAGCAGTGAACAGATCAATCAGCAAAAAATGGCCTTAGAGTAACATCAAATTTGCTGGATTATTTAGTACTTTCAATGTAAATAAGGTGCCAGAGACAGAATAGAAACTATAATTACCAACGTGCAGTTGTATGCCTCTGCAAATCAGTCACATTACAAATGACATCCATGAGGTCACAGAGACCTTTAACCACCGAATTCTAATCGGATCATCTTTCAGTCCAAGTGGATGTTTGTGCCAAATCAGAAGAAATTACATCAACGTGTTCCTGAGATATCGCATTCGTGAGCCTGAACATGGAAACCTAAACACAAGCATAAAAAGCATCAGAATAGACTCATAGAACTTACAAAACAAGCGCCAGACCATCCTCGAATGTGTCCATCCTTGTGCCAAGTTAATTTAGCTCATAAGTATTGTGAATAAGTTAGTTCATTTGAAGCAAGTTGGGTATCCCTGCGCTACAGGAAAAGTCTCGGGGTCATACTGTGGGAAGCATCTTTTGATGTTTCTTGTGTGCAAGTGGCCTGATATTGGTGCTAGAGGAAAGATCGAACCATAAGATACATCTTCAGGGGATCACGAACCTCCACAGCAATCCGACCGTCTGATCTACAGATAACTTGTCAGAAAAATGAGCTGGTTAATAGAAAACTTTGACCAGTTTTTTAGATACTGCACCTTTCTCTGGATCGTCCATAGACAAAGTGTGAAAATTGTCATTATGCTTTTCTGACAGAGCTGCCTGTTACCTCAGCCTCAGGCTGGAAGCCATCTCAGGGTAGATAGCTTATCATGGGTTGAGGTGGGAACCTGACTAACAGAGAAGGAGAGGCCAGCACTAAAACACACCTCTCTCAAAGCGGACAGTATTACAGCTTTATTGCGACTGGAGACGTCCATGGTGAAGTACAATGCTGCATTTAAATACAGTTGACAATGGGAAGTGATATGAAAGCTTTTCTGAGGACCCGAGACCGGTGGATCTGAATAAACAAAGAAAACACAGGAATCTGGAATGAAAAACACAGAAATCCTGTGTAACCTCAAGCCAATAAATGATTCAGTGTGGGTACACGTGGACAACAAAAGGCAGATTTCTGGCTGTCTAAATTTCACAAGTCCTTGCAGCGGATTTGACAATCACACTTTTCCTCCGGTTTCGAGCTGTAGCTGAAATTTGCCACGCTGGATCCTTTTCACAGAGAATCGCTGCTGTTTTAGAAGTACTCACTAAAAGCCCCCGCATGAAAAATTCAAACAAAAGCCTGTCTCCTTTCCGGGAGGAATCTCAAGGATAGCTCAGGAAAAAAACGAGTGGTTTTCAAGTATAGTGGATTAAACCCCCCCTCCCCTCCCGTGACAGAATGATCAGCTACAAGAAAAGACGATTTGTGGGGCGCCCTAAAGCAACAACTAAGATACACGTTCCTGCCATGCCACACTAAGGAAACTATCACAGAGATCCTTGTTAGCTCTCGAGCCTCATTTCCTTCACATCATGTCAACGAGAAACCCTTTGCTATATTTGAGCAGAGGGATTAGCAGAAACTTGGTTATAGCTCCACTTCGGCAGCAGAAACCTCATTGCTTGGTCTTGTTTATGCTTTACCAAGAGACTACTGACAGGAAACGCTTTGCTTTGACAGCCGCGCAGCAGGAGGAAAGGTAAGATCATTACTAGTGGCGGTGCATCTTTCTATCCAGAATATTTTCATCTTAAATCCAACAAAAAGTTAAATCTCACACTGAAGTCTTTCCTTTACTTACTTATTTGCCTAAATTTAATTTTCAAAGCTTCAGTCTGCAGGAAAGTTGAAGTTCGTTAGCGTTTGAGGATTTCAGAGTTGTCAGTCTTCCTCTGTCCCCCTCACCTGTTTTAGCTGAGTCTCTGAGTTGACATGCACATCGCACGTCTCACAGTGAAACGTTTTGTTCTGCAGGCCCGTTGTTGATTTGACGGTTGTTACAGCCAGTTTGCTTTTGACTCCCGACCGGGGGAAAGACTTGATGGAGCCCACGCCGGTCCTGGCCTCGAGCATCGTCTTGTGCTTCGTACCTGCAGGTTCAAACAGGAAGCAGTCAGTACATTTACTTCACCCAATAGATGCTGCCTGAGGGAAAGGTGAGATCAGAGGTTCACGGCTGTTATCTTGTCTCTGGTGTGGGAAATATGAAGGTCAGTGTTAAAGGGTCGTCTCGTAACTTAGACTACAACGTCTCAGATCAAAGTAGAGAACCCCGTTAAACTCATTCCCACAAAGTGTCATGGTTCCCACAAATCTCCCTTTTTTGGATGTCCCTGCAGGGCACTGTTAGCATTGATGTTCAGGTCAGCCTTTAAGTGACTGGGCTTTCATGTGCAAACATCATCTTTACGTCTGGTTCGATTCCCTGCCGATGGTGCTCATGTCAACGTGCATTCCCACGCATTTTCTTCAGGAAACGCAATTCGAGGTAGTGATTATCAAAGGAACAGGACATAACAACAGCTGCAGTGCTAAAATTAATAATGACAATTTTTCATGATGGATTGAGCTAGCTTCTCCTCGATGCTCCAAAATAATACACCACTGGAAATTCACTACATTTCAAACGTTTTTGTTTGTTTTGTTTGAATGTGCTCCCTTCGTCTCCTCTCAGATTGGGAATGATTCCATTATATATATACTGTTGACATATCCAGAAGTTAATATTGGCAGAGTCGAATCCAACAGGTTATTTTCTATATATATTTATTATATACAAAATGAGCAGTTCCAAGTCTCTTAAAACTGTCATCTTTGGGCTCAACCACTGTACCCAAAGACTTTCCCTTCCTTCACTGTTACATCAGCCAAAAGCATAATGCTGAGACGCTGGAGGAAATTCATCCACCAATTTATCAGGAATGGTTTACAACAATGGCTCAGCTTGCTGGTAATGAAAGGGTCACACAGCCTCTGTTGAACAAGCTTGATCAATATGAGTTCACATGGGACCCTTTCACTGCCTGGCTATCTGTAGCTTTGAGGTCTCGTGTGGACTCATGTGCTTAAATGTGGAGAAGATGTCAGTGTGTTTGTGTCTGTCATGCCCCTGTTGATAGATTACTTGACTTCCTCTCACTATTCGATTTCGGCCTCGGGACCTCTTTTATCAGCAGATTGAATGGGTGTTATCAGAGGTTATCAGCCTCATAGATTTGGGTTGGAAGGGGCCTGCTACACCTACTAGTGGATTCAAAAGGCCGTTATCATGTATAGACATGGTCGATCACCAATACAAATACAAGAAGACGATGCCAACCTTTAGTGGGCAATGTAATTTGGATTGGAGCAAAGGAGGAAGTCATGACACATAGTATAAAGTGCACTTTCACCCATGAGACCGCTTTCACTGTCCCGTGTGAAACTTAAAGTCAACTATAACTTATTTTACCGTACGTTTGTACGCCAAGTTACGTAACTTATGTTAAGTGTTCTTATTTGAACCCAAACCACAATCATTTCCTAAAACTAACCAAGCAGTTTTGTTGGCTAAACCTAAAGTCCCTTTGTTTCACTTCACGAGTCAAGGTGTTTTGTCTTATGTACAAATACCTCGTAATTATTATAAATGGCCAATTGATGTTAACATTTGCAGAAGAATGTCTCTCGGACGTCTCTTACCGCTGTTGTGAGCCTCCAGCTGCGATGTGGAGTTGACCACCACTTTGCACAGCGAGCAGTACAGAAGACGTCGAGCTTTCTCCTCCTCTGTTTCCGTGTCCATCTCCGCCTCCGGTTTGACCTCAGGCTCCAGGTCTGGTTCTAAGGGCGAGTTGAGAGTCGAGTCCCCTCCAGCTGCCGAGGTAGTCTCCGGGGCAGTGGCTGCCGTGGTGCTCTGGACTATCGGCGAGGCCACAGGTGCCGGCGTTGGCATCGTGAGGGTCGTCAAGGATGCCAAGGGCAGTGCCGGTCTGATCACAGGGGATAACGGTAGGGGCACCGCTCCAGGAACGCCATCTGCAGAGAGGAAATAGATTATTTATTTTGAATTATACGGCTACATTCATCATTTAGGGGCAAAGATGTTATATTCATGTAATATTCAACCAATAGGTGTTCTCTGGAGACTTTGAGATGTGGATTTAAAAGCAAGATTATTTCCATAGTTGAATCTGAGTGCTGTAACAAGATGGGTTTTTGTTAGTGTAATGTGAGAGTTGGGAAGAAAGACAGATATTCTGTTAATTTGCACAACATGTTGGCGTGTGAACATTTTAGTTTTAAGACACTGCCAAAAACCACATTCAAAGAGTTTTTGAAGAAGAGCAGAACGTAGGGCTGGGCATTGAAAAAAAAAAAAAACATCTTCACCAATTTGGTAACACTAGGAAATACGCTACAGAGTTAGAAAACAGGATCAAATATGGAAACGCTGCAAGACGCACAGAACACAACGGAAAAAGGCCCCACAGTAAAATACAACAGACTACTTTTCCAGCGACATAATAAATACATGCTGCCTTTTCATGACACAAGGAGAAGATATGCAGGGTTGGACATTTCCAATTTTAACTGATTATAACCTGGTTGTAAACATTTCACAATGTGGGGATTATAAAGAATCTCGCACTAGGCGATTTTAAGCTTCAATGCATTAGTTTTCTAATGTGACGCAAAATGTCGAAACTTGAACTGAAAAAGACTGTTTGTATGGTTTTGCTTGCAGATAATCACTGCAAGCATTCTTCCATTTAATCCAACGTGAGATTGGCCGGCTACCGCGGCAGCAAAACAACCCGCACAGCCGTGATGGCCTGCACATGGCTGTGAACACGGAGATGTCTCAACCAGCAGCCATCAGCTAACAGTGCTAGCAATGCTAACAGTGCTAACAATGGCAACAGTGCTGGCAGAGCTAACGGTTTTAACCTGGTGGGCCTTACACTACCCAGTCTGCCCACCGTGGGTGGTTGGGCGGCGTTCTCAGCGGTAACCGCTGTATGAGCGCTGTGCAGTGCGGTGGCAATTAGCTAGCCAGAGGGACTCACACAGCTTCCATTCAAATAATAGGTATTTAATGAAGTACTTTATTGGTATCGGTATCACTCTAGGACTACTGGTATTTGTACTGTATTGACCATACCCAGCAGTACAAGTATACCTCAATTTATGTTAATGATGGTAAAGTATATAAATGATGAGTTACTCATATGTCATATGTTCAACTTTTGTTATTGAAATATACAGCTCTGCAAGATAAGCTGACCTTTAATTCACTGTTATTCCATTAATATGTTACACAAATAGCTACTGTTATCTGAAAGAAATGTCTGATATTTTCAGGCACGAAGACAGCGGTCGATCAATATATTTGACTCATAAAACAACACCACACGTCAGTGTATGGAATACAGAGGACTTACTGCCACATATACGAAAATTTAATTTTGCCTTGGGAGCGCCACCTGATCGATGCCAATGGCTCCGAGTTCTCCGCACTCCGTTGTCACAAAATGAAGATCAGCCAGCCAGGAGAGCAAATCAATAGTGAATTATGTCATGCTATTTTTGTGAGCCATCATATGTGGGTCTCATTTATCCCAGCGGACGTCTGCTCCAGGTTGTATCGTCACGGGGTACACTTCAGGCAAAGGTTAAAAAAATACATCTGGAGCAGCAGGTATGTTTCTGTTAAAACCTGTGGTGAAAGAAGTATGGACATCCTTTACACGAGAAGAATCAGAGAGAGCTTCTGGCGAATGGTGAATCTATTTAGTCAAGCTGTGGTATTGAATGGAATCCAAGGATTGCAGCTTATTGCGACGGATGCACGTTGAATAAAAGCTTCAGCTAAATGCTTTAAATCTATGCAAATATATGCACTGTGGGTTTTTTTCTTTTCATCCATTAACCTTTGAAATGGGTTTGAAGCACATTTATACTTGTTGTAATACTCTCCTCTTACAGTTGACTGACTCCAACTGTGAAATTCGCTGCACTTTTATGAAATCTTGAAAGTAATGAACCGAAGCAAGCGGTAAGAAAATGTACAAAAACAATAGGACGTCTGCATTGAAATGAGGGGGAAAGCTGCAGGAGGGTTTGCTCTGACATTTTGTAACAATATCATGAATTATATGATAACAAATGCTTCATTTTTCGGCAGGGTTGGTGAGCAACAAAGTAAAGCTTAAATGAAAGTGATGATGGTATTTGAAAGTAACCTCCCTAAAGCAGTCTGTCAATGTATTGGTGAAGCTCCACACTCATACCGGGGTGTTAGCTATATTTACACAGCAGGCCTGCCTGCTCTGAATCAGCAACAAAAATACAACCAACAGCCAAAACAGAGTCCACCCTATAAATCTACTTCTTATCAGTGCTTGAAGTGGAAAAAAACAAGTGCCAATACAACACTTATTCACGTACATGTTGGCATGTGCATCGGCCTCTATCAGCAATCATTATTATAGTCTGAATTTCTTCAGTGAATAAAGCATTCTAGGAGATATTGGGTTTGGGGGTCCTTATTATTTAAAAACTATACAATTTCACATAATCTTCGACCCCTATTTTTACTATAGATAACGCCCTAAAAGCTTAAAGATGAATCTTGAGATCGTCAGATATTAATTTTAATTATTTACACAGGGAGGCTTCCAGGAAGGATCCTAATCAGATGCCTGAACCATCTCAGCTGACCCCTTTTAAAGCAAGAGAGCAGCATTTCTACTCCTCTCGAGCTCCTTCAGGATGTCGTAGCTCCTCCACTTATCTATAACCGGGCTTTTGCAACTGAAGTGCGAGAGCAAGGCCATTATTTCCAACGGGCTCTTTCCCGGGTATCTGCATGCGAGCCATAGCAGCATGCACTACAGGTCACAAAAAGTCAACTCAAAACTCTGACCTCAACTAAATGTGTCCAGTGGGATTCAAACGTTATGATGGTGACAATTTTACCAAAGAAAAGAGGGGGATGCCAGGTTATCTAAGTGATACTGTGATGCTTTTAATTCTGCGCACTGCGTCACCTAAACTATTTGTTTTTCCCCGTTTGGTTTAAAGGGGAGCTCATCCAGGCTTTGAAGGAAACTGATTTTGTCCGCTTGTATCCGCGATCCATTCTTTCGGCCCTTACCCAAAGCTCATGACCATAGCTGAGGGTTGAAACATCGGTAACTGAATCAAGACCTCTGTAAAAAACTAAGCTGTGTCCGCAGTACTGCAGACACAGCACTAATCCGCCTGTTGATCTCCATCTTACCCTCAGTTGTGAACAAGACTCCAAGTTTCTTGAACTTCTCTACTCAGGGCAGTTGAGATTAGGGATGCACCGATACCGATACTAATATTGCGCCGATACTGACTCAGATATCTTGATCTAGTATTGGTGACAATGGGGCAGATCTAATGTTTCTATACTATATACAGTATGTATTGTAATTTTAATTCATGCATACGCTTTCACCAATTTGTTGATGCATTAAAACAGTTTACACTTGAAATGTAATTCCTTTAATTTTGAACATGTTTTCTAACAAATTGCTGGTTTGTTATTTTAATAATAACAATTTAGTAACCTATGTGACTATTTTTTATATTTTGTTTTACAAAGTTGGGTAATGCTAAGTCAAGCCTGGTGTTGCCTTACACATAAAAGAATGATCCCAGTCACACACAGAGAGACATACGCATTGTTAGAGCCAAATATGGTGTTGTAAATACAACTGCATTTCTCTGTGTGTAGGTTGGGTGGCGCTGTATTCATGTCCTGGGCTCAGGTATATAAGTCCTGAGCTCACCGTGGTTGTCAGGTGTTTGACCCTGGAAGGGCAAAGGGTTTTGACCGCTATACGCTATTGTGATGTGTCAATGCAACTGGTGCATTTACTGTCGGTGGAAAGAATTGGACCTTTTATACGTTGTTCCACAACAAAGAAAATAAACAAACTATATATCATTAAACAAAGTTGTCTGTGCTGATGTACCTAATGCAACGCACATCACAGGTAATCTAGACGTACAACGAGCGTGTCAACCAGGTCACTCCAGAGGGAAAGACACCTCAGGAGCGTACAGAACAGGACTGGGCTTCTTTAACACGCATTATTTAAACACTGGTATCGGATCGGTACTCGGTATTGGCCGACACCACAAGCTCGTTATCAGTATTGGAACTGAAAAAGTCGGCTGGTGCCCTAATTGAGATACCATTTTAGAAGCCAAGAAGAAAACCATGTAGAAATGCAAGATTCAAGTTGCACATTTTTTCAGATGAACAAAGTAGTTTATATATATATTACTTTATATTTAAATTATAAACTTGATGACATGGTGTGGTGTCTAAGCTTCTCTCTTCACTCTGTCAGTGTTGCTGCAGTAATTATTTTAGACTATTTTGACTGTCCCTGATGGGATCTTTCCATCACATGACCTTAACCTCGGTTGTCTAGATTACTGTTGCCAGCAGAGGATTGAGCGTTGGTGATGCAATGTGGTGCAGCTATGACTAATTGACCTCTACCTGTAAAACTGTGTGTGTTTTCAGTAGACCATGCCTGTGGACTGATCTAAAGAAGAACATCTGGCATTAAAAGGTCATTATTCCAGGCTGTTACACTCAATACCATGACTGGAACATTTGTTTAAAGCCTCTAGACGCTAAAAGAGCGAACCAGTGACTTCAGTTATTAGTAGCGCGTAATTTATGTTCTGTTTAATTTGAGTTCAGGCTGAATGCGCTACAGGCAAGAGCCAGGAAAGCTACCCATTTCTTCCAATTTATAGAATATAAAAACTGCCTCGCTTAGCTTTACAATCACAGTGTTTTGAGTACAAAAAAGAAGAACACTTACATTTGAAATTCCGCTAAAGCAACACACCTTTTCATGTTGCTTTCAAACCCTAATGGTTTAAGAGCCATCAACGACACAAAGTGTGACTTTGCATTACAATGTCCCATCAAGCCCAAGCCATTAACACAAGAACAATAATTAATCTGTGAACTATTTATGACG